CGAGACGCCGAAACACACTTCTCCCGAGCGATGGAATGTTCACTCGTGCTCCTCGCGTTCTTCGCGATACCGCTTCTTTTCTCCTTGGGTTCGAAAGCTATGTTTTGGGTCCTGACCGCTGCAGAAGCTTTGCACTGAATACCAGAAATGCTCTCTGCTACCAGATCCTCGCGCTCCAAATCTGCGACCGGGCACCCTATGGCTCCGTCGTCGGATTGCCAGGCTTTGTGAGTATAGGGGAGGCTATGGTTTGACCGATGTTGCACAGTGTATGTGCAATTCTGTTCTCGTAGTCAGCGTTTCTACAAAAAAACAAATTGGCACGAGGCTTTCGCTGAACAACTTCTCATACAATCGAAGCCGCGAAAATGTTCTCGCTTGTGAGGCCGAAAACCACTCGAGACTTTTCTGTGGCTTTAATATAAGATGCCTTAAAGCTAATATCGCAAAAACTAATTGCAGCGTGAGCTTTTTTTTTTTTTTTTGGAAAGTGCTATTTGTTCCTTTGTGATAGAGTACTTCTTTCTTTCGATCACGGGAGGAGAATTTTAAAGAGTCAAGGTTTTACACCGAGCAAAATAATATATTAAATTCCTAGTAAAGATGCGTTATAACTTTATGCGGAATGTACTCAAATCTCGGGACAAAATATCGAACACTGTTTAACAAAACCGGAGTGCAAAATACTTTAACGCGTACAATCCAACAATCGTAGATATTAAAACATTACAAAACAACCCTTACGCCTCGTTCACTGCGATGCTTACGCAGAGAGTGAGAAAGCATTTTTGGTGCCAGAGCACGCAATTTTTGTCCCGATTGAAATAAATTGTAAGAATTAGGGCAGCTAAGAATCATTTTGTGTACTCATATATGCCAAGGAGCCGAAAGGAGAGGGAACAAGCGCACGGCAGGCGATCCACAGGAGAGAGAATAGCTCGCATTTGTCTCTCTTTTGTTTTCCCCCAAGAAGCTTGCGCTATCACAGCAGCAGCCGTAAGGTAAATTAGAAATCTGAGAGTAACAGTAACAACTGCGAATAACTACAACACGCGTACAACTGTAGGTTAATTCACGTGTACACAAAATCTAATAGCCATTCAACGTTCAACACTCGACCAGGAGATATCGTCAACTACAGTCCTTTACAGCCCAAAATACGCGGGACGTGGCGAGTTCAGGGCATGTTATTATCCCTTGGCAGTCAATGAGGCTGCATCGTCAGCTGATAAGAAGTCCAAAAGAACAAATCACGAAGGAAGACCCGTAATCATAAGAGGCCCCGTCCTACGTGTTTTAAGCTGTCACGTACAATCGAAAACTTTCTTGTCCCAGTACAATGCCCGGTGGCACTAAGAATATTCTCAGGCAGAACATACACAAATCATTGGGAACATTCGCGAATGTTTTGCATCAAGAAGCATTATAGTTTTTTTTATACATTTATATATATATGTATTTCTTTATATTTCAAGCTGCGGTTTCGGGCAGTATATTTGATATGATGAAAACTGGGCGTTTTTGTTCCTCTTAAGGACCAGGAATTGCTTTCAGCATTTTTTAATTGTGCACATTCATTTCAGCACCAATTAGGTATGATTTTATAACAAATCCTTTGCTTTTTTCGTCTCACTGTTGATAGCTGAGACGCTGCTACCGGGGAAACGGAGACAGTGCCTGCGGCGTTTCGTTCTTAACAGCGATGACGCGAAAAAAATGGCCCACTAAACTGCGTTTAATGCAACGCTACAGCTGTCGAGGGTGGGTAGTTTCTCTCACATAATAGTACACGCACGTTTGTATAACACAACGAGTTGATGACAGTCAGGAGGCGAAGACGATGACCGCAATGTATAATAAGATGAGTAGTGAAATGATGTGCTTGAGTCAACCGAGGTGACACTCCTGCGTGTCGTTTGGTCTGCATCTTCACAAAGAGAGCATTGCAAGAAACAAATGATATTGCATGTCCTTGGTGGGGGTCCCCGACTACTGTGCAGAAAAGTAGAGCAGTGATTAAATTCAACCCCGTAATTTGCTTCTTCAATTTTACGCCTCGAATTGGGCTTCTGTTGTTTTGGTTCTTTGTGTTCGTAATACAACGTGATTCAAAGGTGACAACGAGAAGACATAAGTAAAAAACACTGAGCGCTTTCTTAAAGATATGATATGTTGGAAATCGGATACCCAACCTCTGGCACGCGCTCGTTGATGTCCGTCGTGCTTCGGCTGCGCGTCGAGATTGGTAGCTGACGAGACGCCCCAAGTGCTATCGAAGGTAAGACGCTTGCGCTGCAGGTGGGACGAATCGAAATACCTCCATGCCGTTTCTGTCCTGGCGGGGACTACAGTAGATTTACGGCATACTGCGCACTTCAGAAACACATTGCAATGTAGGTTACCTTTTATAAACTGGTTACAGGTTTCAATAAGTAGCATCTATTGTATACTAATAGCGTTATTTTGTAACTATGGAAGGAAAAAAAAACAGGTAAACAGCTTTACTTAGACTCCGCGATACAGATCTACAGGTATTCAGTACAATACATACAATAGTATACTTTTTTAAATAAAATATTATATTATTTATGCTAAATTGTTGTTATTTTGGAGCGCCTGTTGCTTATCATGAATTTTTGTATCAACCAACTTTAAATAGAATTGATGAAAACGAGCTTATAGCTGTGAGATGCACCATTTGGAATGTTTATGAATTCCCTGTGTTTTCCTTGACTCGAAGTGTTACAGCGAAGACCGAAAGTGGTGCATACTTTTTTAAACAACGGGCAACATGAACTTTTGAATAGATCAGTTTTTTTATAACCAAAGCTAAAAGATTTTGTGACAGCTGTTATTCTGCTTAAAAAGCTTGATATCTCTAACAAAGATTTGCGATTCGAAAGAGAACAAAAAAAAAAAAAAAAACTTGGGTTTATTCATGTGATTGTTATACCTTAATGTCCACAGAGTTCTGAGTCAGAAAGAGGGGCTTAGGCGTAACATGATATGTTGCATTATGTACCGTAGAATATACATGTAAAATTCTCAATGTGGGTGGCACAAGGTACCGCAATAGTAAAGCGAAATACTTTGCTGAAATCAAGATAATGCTAATAATGTAAACCTTCAGAGCAACAACGGAGGCGTTTTTAATACTGCAGTCAAATAAAATAACTAAAATATTTAATAAAAGAATGAAACCCAAAGCCATATGCCTTCATAAACTGCAAAATAATTTGTCGTCTGTAGAAAAATATGAAACTAAGGTAATTGCACGTACATGTGTAGATGATACATCAGTGAGTAGATTACACTGGTCATGTTACTGCATATTTTTTTTTTTTTACTTTAGGAAAAATTCACACACTTTGGTCGCGTGACAATTCAGTTTTTCCTTTTTCATTTGAATTACATTCCTGGCTTCACACTGACCACTGAAAAACTGAAACCAAAAAGTTTCCCAATTCTCTCAATTATTGCAATCAATCGCATTCGTTTTCCGTGCCCTATTCATAGCGACTAAGGTACATGTACGTTTCTCACTAATCACATGTATAGGGAAGGATAATAAGACCTTCGATGAAAATTTCTTTCTTTCAGGTGCAGTTTCATAGAAATCATGGCAACAGAGCAATAGTAGGCAGAACATCAAACGATCAAGCTCGTTCGACCAAAGCACCAGATAATCCGTCGTACTTTGTCAAAAAGCTTCGTAATAAATGTCCAGGCCTTATTCCATGTCGTGCGAAACTTCGAGCCGCTTTTAAAGGGAAACTAAAGCGATCCTCTATTTGAGACAAAAAACAACACTTATACTGTCTTCCTTTGGCGTCCAGGACTACAAATATCTAGATTATTTTTCAATTTAAAACATCGAGGCTGCAGAAAATATTTTTTTGAAAGTACCGTTTTTCCTTCCAGGAGTGTGACGTCATACGCATAGTTTTCGTCATCTCCGCTCTCGCGCATCTTAAGCGCCTATCAAAGCTATGCACGCGCACTCTCGCTATTTTCATAAAGGTCAAGAAAAGGCGTCTAGACTGGTATCAATGCGAGGGAATATACCTGGCAAGCTTGCCACTGCACGAGCTGTCCACACGAGCGATACGCACTTGGCGGCCGAATGATCTACGTATGACGTAACGACTGGTCGGAGGGTTTTCGTGCTTTCTCGCCTTCAGTTACATCTCCGGGTAAAGCGAACGTGATATCCAAATTTACGGGACAAAAATACTCTAGAATTCATCTGTAACACGTTATGTTTTTCAAGAACCTTCTTAGCTTCCCTTTTACGCCTGACGCTTTTAAACGAATGCTGGGTCTGACTGTGCTGTCTCAAGCCAAGAACAGAACGTAAGGCCTTTTCTTGAAGAACCATTTTTCGAGAACATACTTGGCGGTAACCAAGCAAGTCGTTTCTCAACCACAACCGTAGATGATATGTAGTTATTAAAAACTATTTTATTTTACCCTAATGGTTCTATAAAGAAATAGCGCTTTAACTCTTCTTAAAACGCAATGAGCCTGCGTACTAAAAGCCGTCAAGTCACTAGGTATTTAAATAAAACTTGAAGATAGACCGCAGCAGACGAGAACAATGTCTCGTCGGGGGGCCTTAAGGTGCGGTCATACTGCTGATACATCATATAAAGGACCATCCGCAGACATGTTCTCAACATGCAAGAACCAAACACGTTTCGAAGACACATGAGGCGTGTCCGCAGACAGTTCTGTCGTCGTGTCTGCAGCAAACACCAGCGAGGAACGCCAGCGAACACAGCGTCTTTAGTATGGAGTACGAGAGGTGTGAGCGCAGCTTTAAGAGGATGGCTTTGTTATGGCATGTCTAGAGCCCAAGCAGCTGCGCTACAAGGGTCGCTGGCGTGTCGCAAGCAACGACATTCATTAAAGTTTCCAACCTTTGTACCAGAGCCACCGCGCCCTATCTGCTTTACCACATAACGCTGCGCCCACCAGGAGGCGAGTCTTCCGTCGGACGTCTACCAGGCGTAGGCGCCAGCAGCTTGTCTCCGGTCGGGCTGGAGAGCGAATGGTGAGGTCTTGAGTCGTGGCGCTTCCAGGACCTTCCCTTCGATGCACGAAGGGTCTTCTTTTATTGATGTGATGTCCCGGTAGGCCTGAATGAGAGACAAGTAGACATATACCTTCGATGTAGATCTGCCCATTGAAATACTTTACTGGGAATATATGCCCCAGTTATTGACCTAGCTTGACGAGCTTCTGTGCCGCGCTCGCCCACGCACTAGGCTCTATACTGTACAACGAATGCTCGATTCTGCTTTTCTCGGGTAGCATTTAGTAGAATATGGTGGTGCAGTACTAAAAACAGCGCCAAGGCCCCAAGTTTTTTTGTTTTGTTTTGTTTAGAACTTGCTTGTGGCACTCTTTCCGCGCTATCACACAAGAGTAGGGCGATTGTGTTTTTCCCCTCAATATCTATGTCGGCAGCATGGCCAAAGACATTAATTAATTAATTATTTTATTTATTTATTTATTTAACTTTCGGGCTTTTACAGAAGACCCGTGGCCCTACAGAAGAGTGCGCCTATTGACAGGTACATGCGTTGTAACATTACTATAGAGCACGTGAAATCATGCATTTGACGTAACGGAAAAACAATTTGTGAGAAAAAAAAAAAAAAAAAAAAGCTGGACGTCGTAGCGACGGCGACCGGGACTCTCGGCGGTACGCAGGCTTAACTGGCATAGAATGCACTACCCCGCACCTCCACCAAAATGTCACGGATAACAAGTGAAGAGAGCGAAGGACTGAGTAAACTGAACGTTTAATGGGGCGAACTTGTGCCCAAAAATAAAAGGAGAAAGAAAGACAACAACAGAGCGTCGGGGGCGTCGAAGGCGGTGAAGCAGCACGATCGAACGCTGAGGCGAAACTGACCGTAGCTCGCCACGCGGAGCCCCTTATGTACAGTCGGGGACAAAAGTCCCCAGGACGTGCGAGCTGCGACTGAAATCGCGCGTGTTTATAAAGGCACTCTAGACTGAAACGCACTGCTCTGCCATCTGCCGGCGGGTCGCGTGGTTTCGAGATCACCGAAAAGCGCGTGCGCGTCCTACTCTGCCTGCCAAGATGTGCGCTTTCCCGCTCTTCTGTGGCGCGGCGCCTAACTCGGAATCGGGCGCATGGTACCGCCTCTGAGATGGCGCTTACTGACATGGAACCTATAAAGAAAGAAGGCATGGCAGCTCAACTGAGCCATAAGCTGAACTGGTTATAAAGCAAGGTGAGCTGACACGGCGAAATTCGGCGCAACGCCGCAGGCGGTATCTCCAGTTTCGGAATATGTAGCAGACGCTCATCAGCCGCCAGTGCTATTTCTGAGGCGGTACCATGCGTCCGATTCCGAGTTAAGCGCGGTGCCACAGAAGAGCGGGAAAACACACATGTTTGCAAGCAGAGTAGGACGCGCATGCGCTTTTGTGTGATCTCGAAACCAGGCGACCCGCCGGCAGATAGCAGAGCAATGCGTTTCAGCCGCAGCTCGCATGTCCTGGGGACTCTTGTCCCCGACTGTACATGCGTGGTCTTCTAGATTAATCGGCATAGAAAGTTCTACGCGTAGAATATTCGGACCTCGAAGAAGCAACAGGATTCTCGATTTTTATTAGAATACTAGTCTGCAGGAATAAACAAAAAGATGAGCTGCTCCCAGGAATCGAACCCTGGCTTATTTTTCGCGTGGGAGCCAGGTACGATAACCGTTAGGTCACGCGCGCGCTGCCTACTTGGCCAGCTGCGCGCGCGGCAATATAGAACATCAGAAAACATGTGACTCGTTACATAATAAAAAAAAAAAAAATGAATGGCACGCGAGATGGCTCAGATAACAATATTAACTGAAGAGTTTCAAATGCATTAAAAAAGAAGTTATTCACTCAAAAAAACTCTAAGTACTGATGGCGTTCTAAAATCTTCACGCGTAAAAGTATCTACCTCAGATGAGTTCGTTACTCTCGACCGATTGCAACACATAAAAAAGAGCAGTCTAGGTTGTGACACTGGGTATGGTGAAGCTTCAGACTTGGTGCCTCAGGCCGTTTCATTTTAGGTCTAGACATATCTTTAGCATCGTCATTCACCAAGCTGCCTCCGGCGATTGCAACGATTGACACTCCCAAGTGCTACGCGAGAAAGGAGACGCTCCAGGTTCTTTTTTTAGAGTGCAGGCCAGCCATCAAGTGCTCACCTCAAAGTCCCTGTTGATGCGATCCATCTGGTGAGGTGCTTCGGGACTGACGGCTCCTGCCATGATCCCCTTGGGATTGAAGGCAGCAGCGAGGGAGGATCTGCCGAAGGCACGCGACGGCACCTCCGGAGACGTCTCTAGCCTGCTCTTGGGGTTGATCCTCGAGTACGTGGTGCCGAAACCCTGTTGATCTGCAGTATGAATCGAGCACTCTCTAAGTCCACGTTAATTTGTTTTACCGACAGCAGCCGATGACACGATCCGATGAAGACAACCAAGCAGCGCCAAAAGCGCATCCACATGATGCTCGTTGTCTTTCTGGGTTTCTTATCACCGGCTCAGTCAATCAGGCACAGCGAATACACCGTGATCCTGCGATTTTTTAATTGCGTTACCGGGTTTTCGTCAAAACGAGCCTTTTAGTTTTCGTCGAATTCCTGTGCACAGGTGGCGCGGAGCCAGAGAGGAGGAGGAGCCACGTCGCCAGCCCAAAACGCAATGCTTAGTGTTCCTTTTACGAAGCCGCTCCTTGTGGCTCAGTTTGTCGGTAGGGAAATGACCAGATTGTACAGTGGGGACAAAACGCACTTGTCCCTGCCTGCGCTGAAAGGCAGTGCGGCCATGTAATTCAGACACTGCATGTAAAGAAGTAGAAATTTGATACCTAACACACTGTTAAGGTTTAAAGATCCTGCGACTATAGATTGTACTTTTCTTTGCAGCTGGCACTTGAAGCCACACTCCGGTTCGGCTCTATGGTGTCCGAGATGGAACTCAAACTTCGCGAAACTCGAGCACTACTAAGCAAAGAAAGTTTCCATGATATTGACCAGGACCTATGGCCCAGCAGGGCAGAGTTCTCTCTGATAAGCGAGTTAAGAGCGGTTTTCCACTCTAATGTACAGAACAGAGCCAGTGTGATTCTGAAAGCAGATATCTGAGGAAGCAGATTGTTAAAAAAGCATATCATCATTCTTCCAAAAAAGTCTGAGGAAAGGTGAGGAAAGACCTGTGACCTGCATACACAGCGGTTATAAATGTTACTCTCTGAATGCTGCTTCTTACAGTTATGATCATGTCATGGAAATACCTCTGTCTCTGCTGCTATAAAAATAAAGCTCACTTCAATAAATACTGGAACTAGATAAAAACCTTCAAGTGTAACACTCAGATTGCCGATCCAAATTTCTTTTTTAATCCATGTTCGGGCTTGCAGTCTTTGATTTTGGTCCAGAAGGCAAATATAACGGTTGAAACTACATTAAAGCATAGACTTTTAAAGTGATCACAATTTCCCTGCCTATAGCAAACAACCGAAATTTATCGCTGCGTCTGCCACTTCTGACACACCAGTGGAATGCTTCATCTTCCCTTGAACTTGTGTGTGGAACTCTAGAAACACATTAAGGATACAATAATTAAGAAGTGTTATGCACCATTCATCCGCTCCTGCTTGTGGATGCCGATGTTATTATTCCAGGCTCTGGATCAACGGCGCCACTGGACGCTGGTGTTTGACACAGATGGACGCTTTATTCGGAGCAGCGTTTAGTTTTCTTTCTGTTGTAGTGCTCTTGTAAGGATGTGCAGCTAATTATGTCTAAGTGTCTTACTTTGCATCCTACAAAAAGAAGTTGCATTAAATCGTTTCAGAGCTAGTAACTGTGAACTTTTTCTATGCTTCGGTAACGGTTTAGTTTGAACATGGCGGCAAAGTTTTTGCTTTAGTTCCGGTTCGGCTAAAAATAGCAGTTCCGTTTTGATTTTGACACTTGGTAGCAACCATTCTGCAAATCTATATCATAACGAAGCAATAAGATTAACATGTCGTATTATAAATTTCACAAGCAAGACTAAACAATTGACTTAGTTTTATGCACAAAATTTCACCGAAGCCTATTTTTTTATTCAAGGGTCAGCATGAGGTTGGGTCGCTTCTGCCAGGACCATGTATCTTCTCGACAGCAGCCAGATGGCAGTTGTTCTCTACAAAAGGACGGTTCACCTTCCACCATGTTGTTTCTTGGAATACGCCTTGATAGAACTACTAACCATCTACTATGTCCTGAACCTTTCCTACCCACACTGTTTTGGGCAAACCTTAGGACTAGTGCCAACAGTATTGCACGAGCGTGAAAGATTTGACAGGTGCCTCATGTCTTTTAAGCTAAAGATGATGCTTGAACAGTTGCAACCGATGCAGAAAAAAACGCGCAGCGAAAAAACGGGTAGCGAGCACATTACCCACCTACTAACGGTTCGGCTATTAGATTATGTGCACTTTGCTTTAATGTTTTTTTTTTTCGATTATGCCAATTCTCAGATGTTTAAATCGTTACTTTTCTGGGCACTATTTTTGAAGGAAGTATTTTATGCCTAGTAATTCTGAAGAATAAAGAATTCAAATTGGGCATTGTTATGGCATTTATGCTTTGTTACATAACAGCTCTTAATTTTGGAGTGGAGCTCAATGCTGCACAATTTCACCATGCATTGCTGTTGTCTACTGTCACTGTCTTATGCATGTTTGTAAACTGTGCACAATAGGGATCTAAGCTTGATATTTGTTATACTGTGGCACATTGTTAAAACGGTGATTAATGGAAAGTGCAACACACAGCAAACGGTATGAAGCCGAACATTGGTTTGTTAATGACAAATGCCAGAAAACGGACGTTGGTTTTACAGGAGTTATGCATTTCACACTGGCTTTGCTTTTCCAGGAAAAATCTGATTTGAGATCCCTGATTGGAATATTTAAAAGGCAGCATGCCTATTTTATGTGGAAAAGCATTTCAGAGAAAACCTGCCTTTATTTACCTGGAACAGTGTTCCAGATACCTGTAGCTGGAACGCGGTTCCACAAGCATTAAGCGAAACATGGTTCCAGTTATTGCACCATAAAATATGCGGAACAGTGTTCCACCTATTTTTATGGAATTTGGAACGCAGTTCCACCTAGATTAACTGGAACATTTTTGCAAAAATTTTCCACTTACTAACCGGAACTTATGTGGAACCAGCTTAAGAGTGCAGTGCTGATTGAGATCGCGTCACCAGAGAAGGCCAACGCCGGACACGAGTGCCGCGTCAGCGTGCGGCTTCGAGTCAAGCTTGAACTTTGAGTCGAACGTTTACGTAATTGTCGTGTCCAATCTGGGCCCATCGTTGGCCTTCTCTGATGGCGCCACCTCCTTCAGCATTATGGCTTTGTTATGTGGTATGTGTTGCGCCGCAGCGTCACTAGGGTCAGCGGCACCTGGGGTGATAGCCCGCCGTGACCGGCCCCCTCCCCTCTACCGCCAATCTCGTAGCCCTGCCGCGACACTCTCCCTTCCCCCCAACCCCACTCTCGTGGCCGCCGCCACACCGTCTTCCCCTCCTTTTCACTGCCCAGCTGCATCCCCCTGAGCGCTGTACCGTGGGCGGCCACCCGTCCCCCGCCCCCCTCCCCGCTTCACCCTTATGACGCCACTATGAGCGCGTGCTCAGTTTCTGCTCATGCCGTCGCCGGTTGTTCTTCGCTCTGGGTTTCCGAAATAGCTGTACGTGGGCAGTGATGCGCGCGTGTGTAGTTAAAACGATGGATGCTGTTCCCTCTGCGAGTGACATGAACGCGGTTCCTTTTACAAGTGGTATAGATGTGGTTCTTTCCACGAGTGATATGGATGACCTTATCCAAGGGCTTCGACGTACTGTGATGTGCAGAGTACAGAAAAGGGGCAAAACAGATGACAGGAAGATCCATTGGTGGATTCTTGGGGAATCCATTAGCCTGACCCTTGGAAAACGCCGCACACCTCCTGCTTTGGTAAACGCTAACACTGACCCTGTAACAAGGCCAAAAAGAGGAAGCAAAAGCGAAAGCCAAAAGAAAAAAAAGTGAAGGGGTCAGCGTTAGGGTTTCCTAATGGAGGAAGCGTGTAGCGTTTCCAACTGTCATGCTAACGCATTTCTTATTTATCTGCGTGACTGGTTTAGCTGAAGATTGCATACGCGCATAGACGACGAGCGCCGTGATGATGCGTAGAGCAAGTCGTCTGCTTTCTAGGCAGGAGTTGCAGGGACGACGGAAAGACGCCGAGCTCTGATTGAAAGATAGTGGGTATGCCTCAAAGCAAGTTGCCCTTGAGGTATACCCTTCATTCAGAACCAATCAGAACTCGGCGCAGTTTTGACTTCACCACAACCCCTGCTAAAGAAGCAGACGAACTTGCGCTCCGCTTGTGACTCCGCATGCCAGAGTCTTCGGTGGCAGCGCATGCACAATTCGTACCGGAGGGCCCATCGTACCAAATGGGATGTGCAAAAACGGTTACTTAAAACTCTAATATTAGATTAAAATTACCGAAATCTTATCTACTTATCTTCATTCACACATTTTAGTATACCATTCTCTTGTCGGAGACTTGGTTCGAGCATTCCTCGGTAGAAAACTCGTACAAACCACAAAGGAATGGATAAATGGTAACGGCTACAACTAATTTTTGATACTATGGAAAGTGATCAGGTTACTCTTGCGATTACTTTCTAGTAAATATAGTCAAACAATTAAAATATATCTCCAAAAAGATTTCGTTCACAAATGATTTGAATAGTTGTTGTCAGTACCGTACAACTCTGGATGTTGCATAATTGCGTGAACTTCGCGAACCGTTTTATACATCATACATTTTCAACAAATAATAGTGAAAAAAGCTAACACGATTTGGTCTTCGAACGGAGAATGTAACTTCAAATGCAGTTATTGCAAGAGAAACAGGGCAACAAGCTTGCTGGTATGTTTGATGTAACAAGGATTAGCCATTTCTTACAGCGAAGCTGTTTATGGCTAGGGTTCCGGGGATGTTTCGTGTGCGTGTACAAAAACTCTACGATCGCACCGCACTTATACGCCGCACGTGCTTGCGTCATCATCAGTAACTGTTCTAAACAGAATGCCTAAAACAAATGACATCTTGCACGCGCGTTCGTCAAAGCTTTATTTTGGTTATTTACTTCGAATCTTTTACACGGGAAAGGCGTGCGCATGCAGCGTATAGACCACCATTCCCTGCATTCTCCTTAAAGCTTGGGTAATTTAGCAATTTTTGTGTGCGTGACCAAAAACTCTACGCTTGCACCTCCCTCTCTTTGTCGTCGTTCCAAGCGCTCGCGTGCCTAGTTTCCTTTGCTTCCGCTCTCCTGAGGG